ACCATACATCTACAAGCGATCATTCAACCTTTACCATTGAGAAACCTCAGGCAAAAACCACGTTAAAGACCTACACGAAACATAGATTGATGACAAATTTCCCGTTGTGGGAAATAAACCACTGCCTACCCCAACCCTAACTACCACATAAGAATCGCTAACGTGTATTTTGAATCGGCAATTGCCCTGTCTGCCTCGATGGTTGATTCCCAACGACTTAACCAGTCAGGCAATTCGCAACAATACCTAGTTTGATTTCCTTCGTACAAATACAGTGAGCTAACGTTTTTCCAGTTGGTAGAGAGATTAGCTGAGAACTTAACGAAATAAAAACATTGGTAAACTAGTTAAATTATTTCCATTTTGATGTGAAGTGAGGGGTTTTGCCTGAGTTTAGATCACCAATTTTTCAGACTTATTGCCTGGCAGTAAGTCTTCAATGCAGTTAGCTGGAATGGAAACATTTTGGTCGAAGATTTGTCGATATTTTTCTGTGTGCTGCTCATGCAGGCCTGCACAATATAGTGCTAAAACTGTCATGTGAATTCCTAACTGAAATGCCTGTTCCCATTTCAGCCAGAACTGTCAGATAAAATGAACCAAAAGCTCCAGGACCAAAACTCAGCTAACACAGAGCTATCTTCGTTAATTTTTACTCAACTGAACCGTGTTGATCAAAACGTACTGCTGACTCAGCTAACACAATTTTAAAGCACAAAGAAACAGATACACACATATAATTGTAGCACCATTATTATTTTCACCAATTTTATAAACATGGCTTCACGTTTTTTGTTTTAATAACTGCAGGCTTACATATAGTCGATAACAGCACAAATTCGCAGTAATTTCTGTGCTGTCGTACTAACTGCGCAGTGATATGTTTGCTAATGAGAAAGACTATACATTTCACTCAATTCTGAAGGAGTGCAATATCTTCAATCCCTAAGTGCCATCCTTTTTTCCTCAGATATCTAGCAAACAGATCAGACCTTTAGCTCACAGATCTAATGTCTCCTAACTGCACGTGTAGCTATTCGTCAGTTCAATATTGAAACCCTAGCTTAAACGCTGAGCTAGGGTTAGGGTGTTGGGTTAGATATTGAGCACATGGTGATGATAACTTATGTACCGGAGTACTTACAGAGTAAGATCCGAGCCTAGGCTCTTCACATCCTGTTTTAAACCCATTTAAGCCAGAGATTATCCAAGGTATTAGCATCTATTACTACTTGTTACATAATAGGATAGGGTATTATAGGCATAAGCATTATTCTATCACTAAATTTCATCCGCACATAGCGAGATCCGTGCTGAGCCCGGATCTTACGAATCTTACGAGCGGGTGCCACTCTAGGTCATGTGACTGACAAAAATGGCGGACCCAATCAAAATGCGCCGCTACTGAGTGAGAACCAATCAAAATGCGCCGCCACCGAGTGAGTGTGAGCAGGAGCCTCACATACCCAGCACATGCCGAGTTTTCAGCCTCGCGAGACCAAAATTATGAAACACAACAAGTACTTACCTCACCGCGCCTCGCGAGACCAAAAACTCACATAAATCGACTGCGCATGCACACGGCGAGATTCGTCGCCACACACGGTGAGATTCGTGCCGAGCACGAAACGCACGCTTCGTGTACAGCACGAATCTCACCGTGTGCCCCGGGCTTTAGCTCGCCCAGCCTGATAGACGGTCAGAAAACGGAAATTAGCTATTGTCTGAACATTTATTTGCGAGGTACGGTTTTTGCTGTTTTGAAAATGCGATCACTGACACAGTTTTTCAACAATGCATTAATTGTCCCCAACTCAGGCAGTCATATCGTTGAAATATGCAAGTGCCTAGCCCAGTCACTACCAACTGTTTAACGTCGTAGGAGCTACGTAGTGAAAAGGGAGAAGGTAACTTATGGCTAGGCTCTAGCCTAGGGAAAACCTACAATAATAATATTAATACGTAATACTAATACTGTAATAGAACATAATATTGAGAGACCAAGATAAAGCAATACTTAAATAATATAAGCCCACTGAGCGCTGGAACAGTGACAGATCGTAAAAATGCTAGGAACTGATTTATTGGTCTATTACGAAATCAAATGAAATCACAACAATCACGTATGATGTAGGTCTATCGCCTGAGTATCGGTTCTCTGCTTACCTGCAACTTGCATGATCCGAGTAGCTGGTGACGAATTCGGTACCATAACCTGACTAACCTGAGTCCGATGACCTAATAACGCCTCATAATTCGCTTATGGATCCAATATTGCAACAGAAAGAAACTGTTTGAAATAAAGATTGACGAATTTGATCCGTGTAGAAATAACGATAAGCTAACAGTTCGTTTCGACCGGTTCAATAACACTGACGACCGATCGATTCTATTCCTCCGCCCCATGGCCCCATCTACCCGCGCGATTGTCAATGAAAATTAAACAATTGAACATCATGTAAACAAAACGTAGCGCACTTGCATTTGTGCATCTTTACTTAGAGAGACAAGCATTACACGAGCAGTCCATTGCCATATACAAAATGTGACAAAATGTCATATTTGTTGCGTAATATAGATGTCTGGTAAAATTATTTATTTTCTTTATACCCGTAAAGCCTAACCCTAACCCTAATTCTAACCCTAACCCTAACCCTAATCCTAATCCTAACCCTAACCATTCGGTCTCGTTCGACGTACGCTCAATGCAGTCGGATTGCCGGCAGCTTCGCGCCCGCGGCTGCTTCCGCCGAGGGGTCGCGCCGCCGTCGCTGTGACGTGCGTGGACGCGCTCGCGCGCCACGCTGGACTACAGGCTGCTGTCGATGCGTCACGCGCCGCGCCGAGCCTGCCGCCCGCGCTGCCTTCACAGAGGGTCGCACGTGGACGCCGCTTGCTGCCCTGCCTGGCGGCGGTTGCACGGCCCGGCTGTAGCCATTCAAGCAGCTGGCGGCGCGCACGAGGGGTTTCGAGACGGATCGAGAGCGGCACCGCTCGCCGATCACCTATCACCCCCGGCAGGTTGTCTGATCGGCGCACTCCATTATCACCGTGTGCGACGGCTCCGCACGCCGACGACGCCGACTTGCGCGTCCGATCAGTCGAGACGACCGCGGCGCCGCATTGTGGCGTCCCCGCCGCCCTGGCGAGACGGCGTGGCGCAGTAGCGGCGCTGCCAGCCGCGTCTACGGCGGAGCTGCGGCGGTTCGTCCGGTCTTGTGCTCGTCGAGCAACAGCCATGGCGGTGCTGGGGACGGTGGGGGCCTCACAGTAGAAGGCGTGGCGGCTGTTCGCGTCAGCGCGGCCTACCTGCACCAGTACGTCGCTGTGCGGCGCTCCCGTGTGGACGACTTTGCCTGCAAAGTTTTTGCCGGACGATCGAACAGGTCATTCACAGCTACAGACATGCTCTGATAGATTTTATCAGAAATTATGTCTCTGCATTGAGTTATAGTGAGAATTACGTTTCGTTGAAATATGTTATGTGAATTATAGATGAACCTTTCAGTACTAGTAAATAATTGAAATGATGTATATAGAGTTTGTAATTGAACAAAGATCTGTTGTAAATTGTTTTGTCGTCAGATGACGAGCTTGGCCTGGCGGTGTGCGAGCTTGCTCTATGTTGATTATACTTTAGCAATGTACTTCTAAATGACATATTAAATTTTTAAATTTTAATATATTTTTTCATGTCTTTAAATAAATAACTGATAAAATGAGGTGCAATTAAACACAAACTAAACATTTGTTCTATCAGTACTAGCGGTTTGTCTATATTCGGCCGGTACAGAAGCATAATTTGCATTTTTACTCACTGGTGTTTATCGTTACTAACATCACGTTGTAATGGCGTGAGTTCGTTGGACGTCGACTTCCAGCTGTGAAGTGAAGTTATGGGTGGAAGGCGCAGGAAGGGGAGAACGGGAGAAGGTTGGTGGCAGAAGGAGGAGGGGAGCAAGCTGGTGGAAGAAGGAGCGAACGGGCGGAGAAGGGACGAAGTGGTGGAGAAAGAGGAGGGGAGAAGGAGTGGAGGTGAGAAGGTGAGAAGGTGGTGGATGGAGCGGGGAGAAGCTAGTGAGGGAGGGGTATGAAGCTGGGTGGAGAAGGAGGAAAGGGCGGAAGGGAAAAAGAGTGGTGGAAGAAGGGAGGAGGGGAGATTGGTGGAGAAGGAGGAGGGGAGAAGCTGGTGGAGAATGAAGAGGCGGTTAAGAAGGAAGAAGCTTGGTGGAGAAAGGAGGAGGTGGTGGAGAAGGGTGGTTGAGATGAAGGGAGAAGGTGTCGTGCCAGGGAATGGGCACCTCCCTGCCCCTTTCTCCACCAACCTCCTCTTCGTCCCACCACTCCTCGTCAACCAGCTTCTCCCTCCCTACCTTCTCCACCAGCTTTCTCCCCTCCTCCACCCACCTTCTCCTTCTCCCCCTTCCTCCTTCTCCACCAGCGTTTCTCCCCTCCTCTCCACCGCGCATTACATCTTGATTGGTTCTATACAATAACCATCGTGGACGAAAATATGCAAATTATCTCCTGCTCCGGCGCTGGAATATCAGACAAACCCATAGTACTATCGGTTATAATAAAACATCGGATGCGTGGCAGCCACCTGTGTGTGCCAAAATGAATAATATGTGCGCACTACATGTATAAGGCTGATCCTTAGAACTGTACATCATCACCGAGTTTTGACGGCGACCTTATCTTGCTGGGTCGGTTGGTCGCAGTGGATCATCTTTAGCTTACCTACCCGACCAGTCTTATTGTGGTTGTGGCTTATTTCTCTCTGATTAATTGTTCTAGAGAAAATTGGTGCAAGATATTTCCACGTATTTTATGCACCGCGTTAAACTGTTATTAACCCTCGCTCCCAAGGAGTAATGTTTTCGCAGGAGGTTTATGTTCTTCAGCCGGCGTCGATTGCTTGTTAGTTTGTGGGTTTGTGGGTTTGTTTGTGCAGAGCCTAACTTGAAAAGTATCGGACGGCATTGTCACTAAAATTTTTCAGGGATAGGTTCAAAATGGGCTAACTTAGAATTGATGGAGTTTTTTGGTGGTTTATCCGGATCTCAATTAATTAATTAATTAATATTTTTAGGATTAGGTCAATAAATGGGGTAACTTAGAATTGATTACATTTTTGGTGCGTGATCCGGATCCACATTAATTAATTAATTTAATTAATTTAACTTAATAAAATTTTCAGGATACGTCAGAAATCGGAGTCTTAAGTTAGAATTGAATTACATTGTTGGTCGTCAATCCGGATCACCAATTATA